TAATCTTGATCATCATGAAATTAAGTTTTTAACTCGAATAATTACAAATCATCATAAGACATTTTACAATGTATTCCTGCAAAGAGGTTCACCCTTCATACAAACATTTTCTATACTTAGCTAAAACTAGAAGAGTCAGAGAATCCATTTATCTTTACACAATATAATAGACATGTGCCGTCTTTCCGTACTAGCTAAGAGCATTTAAAATACCTACAACAATCATCTAGGAAAAAATAGTAACGATTTTTTGAGTTAAAAATAATCTAACCAACATCATCGATCCAATTTTTATTATTTTTTTTTTCTTCTCCATCAAATAATGAAAAATATAATAGTTGAATAGTTTCCAAAGAGCATTTGAGTCTTTTGAAAATAATCAAATGAAATATTTTTAAACATCCAATCATGAATATTTCTATTAAACACACTTTATACATCTACTCTTAAAAGCTTTTAAGTACTGCACATGCAACATATACTCCATAGATAAAGATTGACATAACACTGCATTTAGTGTATTCCCATGAATATCATTCTTATCAATTCAGTCTAGTTGAAGTTCTAATAACCAAAGTGAGCAGCAGAAATCAATGATGCAAGTAAAGTACAGAAATGGTATGATAATAAATGATTATTACTTACCTTAATACTCTTAATCCCTCCATATATGTATCTGCCATAAGAACTGAAACGTTGATGTATAAAACACATAAGCATATATCCAATCCAAGTATATTCAGCCTTTTTGTAGCATCAAATCGATTGAGAGAGGCAGCACGTTGGTGGTCGGTAATGTAAGACGGTATCAACTTTTTCAACTCATCATTGCAGCTGTAAACTTTGGTACAAGTATTCGAATTGTGATTTGCAGATTACAATAGATGAACAACCGTATCGAAAGTCTCAAGAGTGTCTAGAATTAGATGTTGAGGTCCAGAGACACGAGCTGACTATTTAGGATACTTTGGAGATATCTTTCATTCTTCCAACCATAATCCATTGAAAACTGACGATCAATTTGCAACAGAAACATCTCCAGGTATCACCAGTTACGCTTAATTTGTCTCGGATCCTCTGATATTCATAATGGAAAATTTTATTGACTCACCTTTTCTTTTCCGATTAAAGAACGATTAGAGCAGCCATGAACAATGTTCTGAGTAATGAATCCTATTGTGAGAGTGCAATTGACATTAAACCAGGGCATTCAATAATTCAATGATAGATAAATCTGAAATTACAATTTATCTACATCGATTCTTTGTCATTTATTATAATGTGATTCTTAATTCTTTGATGATGAAATATTTATTCCACACTCTACACTTATACCACTCCAATTTATTTGATACAGTCGATGAATAATAAGTCTCGAACGACTTTTAATAAGCTGACACTCTGCTCAAGTACCCAACATTCAACGTTCTCTATTAACTTACAATCAAGAATCATTTGTTCAATTAGTTGCGCTCGTCACTTTGGGATATATCGTATTGAATTTGAAGGAAAATCCGGAACCTGGGCGTTCAGTTATTGTCCTGCAGACACACTGTGTACTTGAGAGGAGAGGGCTTTTCAACAAGAGGATGCGTGACATAAAGAAAGCCGCACTTTCCTGTTCTCATGGCCTTCATACCTCATACCGTCTTCATCACTTTGGTGTGAGAATCTTGAGTTAACTAGGTATTAATAACTTTAAAGGGCTAGCGGAAAATTGCAGAAGTCGATTTATTTATATATACCTGCTAGATGCTGACGAATAATTTTTCTCCATAATGGGTTCTTTTTTTGTAAAATGAATACATTTTTTCAATATAGGGTTGGTTGATTTTCTCTTTTTTTTTTGGAAACCTTTTTACGGCATGATGACTTTTTTTGAAAGAAAAGACCTCCAACGATGTTGTATGGATTTTTATTAGAGAATTTAGTTTAACGTGGTCGTTTGTAAAACGGTTTTTATGATAATAAAATATATGTAATATTATATTGTGTTGTTAAATAAAAGAAAAAGCAACAAATCTTGTAGCAAAAGAAAAATTTGCTAATCGGCCATTTGCGATAAAATAGTCACGGGTGATAAAATTTTCACGAGAGATTTCTTGCGGAAAATACGAAAAATAGTCGGAACGTAAATCGGTACTTTGGAGGCTCCACGTTTAGCCTGGAGGCGGGAAAGTCCGTAGCCAATGGGAACAAGAGAGAGGCGGAGTTTTTGGATAAAAAGTTATTCTTTGCGGTATGTCGGAACATTGGATGAACAGAGAATTGTTATAACAGGGTATACACTCTGTATATACAATACCGTGGTGTGTTTCGTCGTCATAACAGAGAAAGGCGATAACTTGCGGAGACGTCAAACGACCAAAAGAAAATGTAAAATAAAAGAGCAGTGCATTATATGTCAGTAGACAACAAAGAGATGAAATTTCAGAAGCTGAAATGTGGTCGCGTATTTCACTTCCTCTGCTTTTTTATCTGCTACATATTACCATACCAAAATATATATTATGCGAATATAATGGGTAATATATATTATGATCTAGTTGAATGAAGGGATACCAGAAAAGATATAACAAAAAGTCTCTCTGTTTTCAATACAAAAGATTTTGGCATATTTTTTTCTACTAATCAGCAATCTGTTTTAGGGTATCATAAGAAAATTGCATGCCTCTTCTAGATGCGCGTGTGAATGCACATAATAATAAAGTGAATGAGGATGTAATTTAAATATAATAATATTATAAACGAACTTTTTTTTTAATTTGCATTATTAATTTTTACAACATTAAAAACCTTAATATTTTTTAAATTGACTTAAATTTAATAATAATAGATAATAATAATAATAAAAAGAATAATAATTACACATATTGTAAAATTTTTCTTAAAATTTACTCAAAAAATAATAGAAAAGAATTTTTCACAAATTTTTATTTAATTTTATTTTTAAATAAAAAGAACAGAAAAATTTGCAACACTCAGAACCTTCATGATTTTTTAATAAAATTAATTTTCATTATAAATAATAATAATAATAATAACTATTATTATTACAACTACTTCAATTGTAAACTTTTTTGCTAAAATTTACTCCAAAAGTAATTAAAAAAATTTTGCAACATTTAAAGCCTTGATATTTTTTCAATAAAATCAAATTTAACTATCAATAATAATAACTATGATTACTCCAATTATAAACTTATATTAAAAATAATGAAAAATAATTTTTGCAAATTTTCATTCAACTTCATTTTTAAATAAAAAGAAAAGAAAATTTTATAAATATTTTTCATTCAAATGAACGAGAGTTGGTCTTTAAAAAGTCTATAGTGATGATTACAACAACGACAAGTGCAAATATATTTATTTATGAATCAAAACTTGAAGCATATTTTAAGAATAAAGTAAAGTGCACAATGATTGGCATCTTCAAAGGAACTTTTTGCGCTTATTCTTCCTCATCAATTCTTCTACCAACTATTTCTACACTCAGTAAAGTGTCAGGATAATTGGTATAATTTATCCTATACATGAATAAGCTTTGTATCCCATACAAAATTCACATTACTCAATCTGAACACACTTCATTTCAAAATTGATCAAATTTTTCAATCAAATGTTGAAAAAATAAATTTCAGACCACTGCCAATTTCAAACATATTATCATGAAATATTATTTTTCAACTCCTCTTAAACAGTTTATTTAAATAAATCAGTTGATACTTTAGACAAAAAAAAAATATTTTAATGTTAAAATAAATAAAAAAAATTTTATTAATCATCAAAAAGTCCAGCTGTAGGACTACAATTTATAACTCAGGTTTCATTCAACTCTAATGAGTCGTCATTAAGTCAGCATATTATTTTGATTAATTAATTTTTATTATTCATCTGAATTCGATATTTCCACGTGTTAATGTGTTTACAATTACCAATTCCATTTAAGAGTATAGTATTATAATAAACATAAGATACTTAGTGTAATATTTCTTGGCTGTAAAAAACGTTTTTGTAATAATAATATGTAGAATTGATGGATATTTTATTTAGTCTTTTAGTATACGAAGCTTTTTGGTGGCGTGTCGTACTTTCATCCCTCAGGGCTTGAACGGTTTATTTTTTCTCTCTCTTTTCTTCCCTTCATCTCACGAGTTTACTCTACTCTATTGCTCATCCTTGGACCTCCTTAAATATCGGTGGACGATACATGCTAAATGTCGGCAAGATCAAAGCACACCGACGGAATCCGGTGGCCGAGGTATTATAATAATTTACTGGGACTCGCGCCTCTTTGTATTAGGATAGTGAAGCCGCCGGCCTTAAAAAGACCATCACTCGTCTTCTCGGCCACCGCTAAATTGAAGCTAAGAGGACTCTAAAAAGGTTTTACTGATCTCTTATTTTCTCTCCCTCTCCTTCATTTCACTCTACTTGCTTGTTCTATCTTCTTGCAATCACACCAGGTATATATTATAATATGTACAAGTAAACAGATTTATCCAAACTAATCTTCACCTTTTATGTCTCATCACCGACACAATGTTTGTATTTTAAATGTCTATCTAAAGATCAACTGTATAATACTATAAAAAAAATTAAGCTTTGAAGTGTTTGAATGGAAATAATTGGTGAACATGGACGTTACTCCCTCGAAAATGCTAGATGATGAGGAAGAAATTGACTAAGTAATTTTATTGCTGGATCCATGATCGTTGAGTTAGCCACAGTTGGGTGAATTTCTAGGATATTAAATACGTCTCGTAAAAATGCCATTGAACCAGCGTCATTTTATCCGTCGGAGGTCGTATAGGTATATCAGAAATGTTAGTAGGTGGTGCTTGAATAGAGCCAACCTCCTGGTAGGTGTGGCGTGGAATCGCACTGACTTTGATATACACCGACAAGCTCCCCTACCCAGTGGAAAACGAGTTAGCTGGGGTAGGCGTAGGTTCTTACTTGGAAGCGGTGTCGGTTCAAACCGTTTTGAGTCACTGGCATGAACTGGCGTGTGGAGTACGACGACCGGAGCTTAACTATTTTTTCAGTTTTAGATAAATGATAAATATTATTGAGTGAAATATTTAAATTGATATGTTTGACCAGTGACGTGAAAACAAATTATTGATAACTCGTGTGTGTGAGAAATGCTAGCTAGTAGTCTTTAGTGACAATTTTTTTCAATGAAAAGCTGTTCAAATAGCTGTCACGTTGATGCAATCATGATTGTTGTATCAATGTACATCAAACGACTGATTGAACTTAATTCTCAAGAGGTAGAATAGCTTGTAGAATAATTAATATTGTTAACGTTATAATACTAAAAATTGTTATCAACAATAAATATGCGATAAATATTGTGTTACAATTCCAATATGTCAATTTGATATGATATCATAGTTAACTTATAAAGTTTTCCATGTGTACGTTACTCATTAAGGTAGTTTGGAGTGTTATTTACCTAATAATTGAGTATACTATTGTTAGAGTACGGTTAGAGGTTTGAAGCGACGGTACGTATAACTTGAACACACCTATATGACTCTTGTGAACGTGGATATTCATCATCCACCCGAATTTGGAGTGAGGATGTGCACCACTGAGATGACTGAAGGTTTCAATATGTCACCATCAACAGCATCCTCAAGTGGTACCAATACTGGTTGCCTCGGATCACCAGGAAACAGAATGACACCATTGAGAAGCTCACCAGGTAGAGCACGGGAAATGAGAGATGAAGTTGATGATGAAGATGAGATATCAGTTGGCTGTCCGAGTCCATTACCCTTAGTCGTAGCAGCTACTTTGCAAGAAGAGGAGGATGATAAAAGATTGAGCCCTTCGACTGAGGAATACAGCGAAAGATTGACGCCCAGAAGCTATGTTGATGATGACGATAGGTATTCCAACAGAGATGAAGGATACAGTGTAACACATCCTAGAAGGATATCACCAAGTCAAATAAATCAAGTAACGAACCTACGAGAAGATGAAGATGGTGATAATGATGAGAGATCAGAGACTGGTGATCGAGACGACTACTTCAAACCTCTTAAACGATTGAAAATGGTACCAATCCAACAGTCAGACGAGGAAGACGATAGGGATCGAGATACTAATGAACGAGGAGTTAAATCATTCAGTATTCTTGATATATTGTCACATCGACCAAAGGCTAAAATAGTTCGTCCTTGGGATAGCTCTGAATCATCCAATCATCACAGGCAGCAACAACTTCAACAACAACACCAACAGCAACAGTCATTACAACATCTTCATCACCATGCATTAGTACATTCCACGCCTAGAGATTTATCTCTAATGAGTATGTCCTTGGCTTCCATGTCGAGTTCAATGAGCGAACCACCTCTGAGCAGTTCTTCTTCATCTGGAAGAAGTTCAGTTTCTGATTCCGGAAGTCCCGACCCTCTAACGCATCATCATCACCATCATCAACATCACTCTTTGCATCATGGTCTCCATCCTGGTATCCATCATTCAGCTATGCAACAGCAGCTCAAGAGGAAGTCCAGTGGATCTCAGCAACATCAGCAAGGTCAAAGTGGTCAACATGGCAAAAGAAGTACTGGCCAGGGCAGTCCGTTGGATGCTCTTTTTCAAATGACCAGCAAAACATTTGATGCTGGAGAACATAGTCAAGGTAAGCCTCTCAAGATGATGTCTTATTTATGCTAATATTATTTTTATCATAATCAATTGTGTAATTCAAGTATTTAGACTATATAGCAAAGCAACTGTCGAATGACAGAGCGATACTTTCCAAGTCATTGCAGCTACTTTTCATGTCGTAAGCGTTAAAGAGTGGCTGTCAGTTAAAGACATGATTCACTGTTTGACTGTTTATGAAAATGTTAATTATGTATGATAGTGAAAAATCATTATACAAAAACTTTAAGACAAAAAACAACTGTTTTACGTCAAAGTAAAAGCGTTGCTAAACCTCTACACATAATTGCAATTTCATAAATATGTATAACTATTATCCAATTATGCTGAAGACGTATCTCGAAGGTTGGATATTAAAACTGATTTATTGACCAAAGTGATTTTGTGAGTAAATGATTATTTATCTAAAAAAGGATCTATTGCATTTTCTGCTCAATCTCTAATTCACATCAAGTGTCCTATATTACTCCAAGACCCAAACAAATAAAAAACTAAAAAGGGATAGAGGAATTTTTTGTTTTTTTTTGCTGTAAAACTTAATTACCGGCAAATATTAAGGGTTAAGGGAAACAATTTCTAGGGTTCTTAGGAATTTTAACTGAGCTGAGATAATGATGATTGTAAAAGAAAGGATTTGAAACCCTCTTAGATAACGATAGCAATAAAAGATATATTTACTGTTGAGTTTTACTGACAATAAAAATAATAGAAAGCTCTTTTCCTAGATACTTTAAATCTGGAATTTCGATAAGATTCGAATTTAAAAAAATTACGTTCATAGTCTGACTCATTCGTGATGAAAAAAAATTGTTCAGGTATAATCTTTGAAACGAACTGAAAAAAAAACGAGGGTATTATTAATAGGTACTTTAACAATGTACATGTCAAAAAAAGGTACAATGCTATGTTTGCTGAAACAAGCTGATGTTATCAGCAAATGTCGCTGCAGGCGCAATTGTAGAAACTCAGCAGAGCACATACAGTTCTTGGTTGATGATTAACCTGATGAGAAATCATCAAATATACATAATAAAATCTCGTTGTTGCATATCTAACTAATAAGTTGTATATTTACAACAACGTGTGGTAATTTATTAAGTAGCTTAAGACGCGCTTCACATATGTTGCATTTGCATATGGCGTGATACATTGAACCAAGCCGCGTTGCTTGACTTCCGAGAGTTGATGCCAATATGCCGGCAGAATCGACAAAAGAAAATTTCAGGGCTTCCGTACACCTTCCATTTCGTATTGCGTGAAGACGCGACGGCGTCTGCTGCACCATCAAGATCCGGTTCCTTAGCGGCCCCATCAAGATTGCACAACACCGTTTATAAAACGTGCAACATATTGCTGCATGAGAAAGTAAAAGAACTAAATAAATGACCAAGACAACAACGGAGAATATACCTATATATATCCACAGCATTCGAAAACATCCATGATAAAAAATCATCGTCAAGAAACTCATCAATTGCGTGACACTACACTTTTCGACGTGTCTTTTTAAAAGATATGTACCATTGCGTGTGTGTAATACGATCGTTTAAAAATTTTTACATCAAATTAAATTGCTTATACGATAATATATTAGCTCATATCATTTCCAAAAAATCGTTCTTATTAAATACTACAAAGAAAACATTAAAAAATGAATCCATAATTTTGTCATATTTTAATTGTTGTTGTTTATAACGAATTGTTATTTTTATAAACAATGTACAATTGTTTAATCACATAGAGTTATTCATAACAATATTATATTGATATTTATTCAATATAATAAATATAAATTTGTCTAGAGTTGTGTGAATTCATTAGCAGCCATATTGTATTAATATTGAGTTCAGTTTTTCACATTATTAATCATCTAAAAAGTAGAATCTATTTTATCTTGTATTATCTTTCAAATGGAATTTATCTGGAGTCGATATCTTCTGTAGTTTTCGAGATATCAAAAACGAAAAAAAACTTGACATACGTAGGTACATTTATTTTTAAACCTTCTAATATGCTTTCAAATGTTTTAAAACGCAAAGAAATGACAAAATGACAAATTCTAAAAATCGATCTTATTAAAATAACTTTCCTATGGGGAAGTTAAAAACAATTGCAATGCCTACATAACTGGAGAACAATGTATAATGGAGGGTATGCAGTGTTTTTTGGTTACACAATCATCTTTGAGGATTATTATGAATAATATCGAATCGAATCGTGCACAAAATATCATTCGATACGTGTTCCATTATGATAACATGGAAGGGGAATTGAGATTCAAATTGGATTAGGTAGCCGTGGCATACAGTAGCCTCACGTCCTTGCAATTTACTTTTGATTACTATGCTTTCTATCCTTGCACAGTATTCTTATCCATCGGTATCATCGTCTTCCTTCATAATGATAATACTCATTCACTCAGTAGATATCATAACACATTGATTCTTAAATCAATTTAGTGTTTCACTTCAAATTGTTTAATTCAATTTTATCTTCCTGAAAATATCCTCTCATTTCAGAAGCATCATGTCAAAATTATGTATTTATTCATCTGTGTTTCACAGCTTTACAAGTGTTTGAAAACTTTTTTAACTTATTCATTCTCTTGCAAGTCTCTGGTAATTATGGGCTTATGAGCCAAACGACAACTCAGCGGGTAACAAATCCACTTGAATTTCCGGCCTCTTTAGGTGCAGCTTGAAAAGTCTCAGCGCACACCAGCGCAGGAAAGGCGATAAAGAGAGTTAAAGAGGAAGGAGGGTCTCAAAAGCCTGGTCAAGATGTTGTGACATTTCATCGCATAAACAAAACACCACCTACAGAATTTTGCCTCGAAAGTACTTTACTCGACTGGGGTAGAGCCCCTGCTGCTTCACCGACCCATTTAAAACTTACACAAGCTCTGTCTTTTTTTAAATATCTCAAGCTTCAATCTCTATTTTTTTACACTTAGGGGAACACCATTTTCAGATGTATATAACACTATTTTAATTATAAGTAATTATTTAATTATATATTACGTTTAATAAAGACACCTTGAACGTGACGATTGAACTTGTTCGAAGGGATATGAAAGATGGGCTTGGATAAATTGAAAATATTGTTTAGAGCTTTCTGATAATTATTGAGTACATGTTTGATTTATTTAAACACTCATTACCACCAAGTTTAGATTAGAAAATGATAAAAAAATATTATTTCCAACCCTTAAGGGTTGAATTATAATTGAAATTCATTATTAAAAAAAAAACAAGTTTTGATCACTAGATATTTTTTCATTCAAAATAAAAAAGCTTTTATTGTTTGAATTAATTTTTTTTGTTTGATGTAAAACATATTTAATAATTAATATTTATATTTATTTTAAGTACAATTTTTTTTAAAATAAAAAACTGTTTTTACTAGGAGTGATTAATTATAATAAATCTATAGGGCTTGAGATAAGAAAAGATAAAAATATTTAGCAACAAATGAGCTTTTAACTGAAGGAGAAAAAAAATGTAGGAATTTTTAAACTCAATTATTTTTATTTTTCCATAAAATAACAGGTTGAAAATGAGTACATATTTTATGAAAACGTAAATTGAAACAAAAAAAAAGGAAAAAAAAAGAGGAAAGAACATATCTTACTACACAGTGACTGTGAATCTTATTGCGGGAAATAATTCTCAATTAGCCGTAAATCGTAGCGCACTAAGTCGTATTTATGTCGAGTAACACAGGCCGTCGGATTTATATTGAATGGTGGAGGAAGATTTATATATGCGATCGGTCTCACTTTGTCCATGATCTCCGTGTCTCCAATTGAGTATTTTTCTCTCTCAGGCATTAATACTCACGATGAGTATCGGCGACGACCACAGGCAGTTTGAAATAACTCCCGTGTGGTGCATATCGAAAAAGGGGATGACGATCTTTTATCTCTTTTCGTATTTCTTTAAACGTATTTAGTTTCGAATAACAGAGACTAATCATTGTGAGCCACCCTCGAAGACAAATACAAATAAATTCGTTGTAGATTATTTATAAAATAGCTCTCTTGGTGGTCGTCATTTGTCTCAATAGTTAAATAATACCCTAAATAAATAATATGACGATAACATTTCAATTATTGATTCTTTTTTTTTGATTAAATTTATCACTTTTGAATATTTTTTTATTAATAAATATCTAAATGATTGGAGCTTTTTCTGCTAAATTTTGACACCTTAATCATTAATTATATTTGGAAATTATTTTATTTATTTATTTGAAAGTAAGTTTGAAGAATAATATAATGAACAAAAAATTTTTGCTGTACAAAAAAATTTACAATAATAATAAGCTCAATAAAAATGTATTTTTTTCAATGAATTATTTTAAGTAACTTTCAGAACTGATTCTATAAAAAAGTTAATTACAGAAAGATATTGTTTACAAGGAATTTATTTGATAATTTTAGACATTCAAATAAAAGACTTTTCCTTATCATAAAAATTTCAAACCAATCAATCCTAAAGTTTTTTGTATCGTATCAACCAGCTTTGATAGTTATTCCACGCAATTCACACGACATTGTCATTAAAAAGTAGAATTATACAAAAAAATTTTATCTTGAAAATTCATGAAAAAAATTAAACTAAATATATTGCTCTATTAATTATTTATAAAATTTATGGACTACACTTCAGGATCATAAACAAGTTAAATTAAAAACAAAAAAAAATTAACAAACTATCTCTCGTTAAAAGATGCATCTTGAAAACAAAAATAAATGAAACAGTTAAAAGTATTCCAGGCAATTAAAAATTTAAATCTCTATTTTTAATCATAAAGCATCTCATCTTTTAATAACATAAAAATGTATCTTTCATTTAAAGCAATTTCTGTGACGATTTATTGTTTTTCTGCAGCACAACACGCATGAGATAAGCAATTATCTTATTAAGAACATTACAATGAAAATAAGTGCATTAACAAGTGAATAAATTCAAC